GGGGGCAGGGGTGGGGTTGTGGTGTTTCCTTTTTGGATTGAGGGACACAGCGTGCCTGGGCTACTTATACAGTGCTTTTGAACATCCTACAAGCTGCTTGCAAGCTGCTTGTTATTTGGGCTACTCCTCTCGGAGTTCTTTTCTTTATTGTCTCATTTTTGAGTAATTCCTTTATTGCATATCGAGTATCTGTATGCTGGATGTATTTGGTATATTCTCTCCTGCTGCAGTGTTAAACTTAATCATATTGCTATTACAGAGTAGCTGTCTGACTAACACCTTTGGAATTAGGTCTGGAAGACCCAGTCTGGAATAGCATCTTTTTGTATGGGTTCTGAGACTAGTGAGGAAAAACAAGGACTTTATAGGAAGCAAGTCATTTATTGAGTCAAAAAATGTAATCTCCACATATCCTGATGAGGCATTGATCTAGTCTACGTGTGAGTAGTGAAAATCTCTTAGTACTGCTGTCTTAATTTTGCAGTTTCTGTAATCTCCCTTACATTTCCCTATCCCTATTGTATTTGGACTGGGAGTTAATAATACAACCTTAGCAGTGTGTTTTTATTGTTCAAGTATGGGATTTCCTTAGTGTTTCTTTTTTCCCCACTGTAGTTTTATGCTGTTAAACTTCGTCTTTTCCTACACACAGGTCATTGCTTCCCCATCCTGTTATTCCTGTAAAGTTGATAGCATCACAGCACTGTGTCCATAGAGAAAACCCTTTTTCCCCAGGTCTCTTTTTAAAAGGTGATCGTTGGATCAACTACATACCCTGTTCACTATTTTAGGCATTCTGTTGCTCAAGGTGTTCTCTCTTACGAATCCCAGTGATGTTTTCTCATTGTCTGTTAAACTTTGGATTTAAGTCTTGACCTGACTTACATTCAATCTATTAAAAGTCTTCATTCCAAATCATGAGTCTCATGAGTCTTGGCTCCAAAATATGCCACTCCCACTGAGCCAGCAGCACGTCAGGTTAACTCAGGTTTAGCATATGCTTGCCTAAGGTCAGTCTGCTTCAGTTATCCTCACTGGAGTAGTTTTTACAGCTTTTGCTGTGAATTTTCTTTTCCTCATGAGGCACACTTGAACTGAAACTAGCTGTCAATCTCAGCACTTCATGAGTTAAAACTCATGCTCATTCTAAATTAAGTTTAGCTGGTACCTGAAAAACTGCAGTAATGCAGGAGACCTAGAAAACTAACATTTCATTGACTCCTGGGAAAAAAAATTCTTTCCCAAGCTGTGTAATCATTAATCCTTTGAGTTCAGTCAATAGTCTTAACACAGCAGTTAACTGAAGAGCAGGAGCTGGCAAACACTGGTTTGCTTCATTGCAGTTCATAAATGGCTGTTGTCGGATACTTGTAAATGATCAGTGATGTAATGATTTTGCTAGATGATTGAAATTCCTCTGTTAAATAAATACATTGTGCAAGATCTAGAAATGCAATTTTCTACCTAAAATGTTTCTGCTAACTAGCTTGTATCAAAGCCTCAAGTTTGACCTAGGTCACACAAGCAACTTAAGTTTACATTTAGATACTATCTCTTGTGTTACAGATTCTACTCAGTATCAGATGACACAGTCTTTTTTTGGTCTAACCTTAACTTAACCAAAATTACAGAGAAAAGTAGTATGCCAGACCAGCCAATTGTCCCTCATAATAATACCTGGTTTAGTATACTCTTACAGTTGGAGGGGCCTCTCTCTTGTTCTCATACTGTACTCATTGGTTATTACTGGAATTAATAAAGTTTGACCTTTAGTGAACATCAAAGCACATCCTTCTTTGAAAGTTGATTGATTTGTCCACATTTTGATGTTTGAATATGGTAGTGGTTCTGATTTATTGACAAAATACCTTATTTTCATTTGAGTCTAAATCTATTCCTTTATTCAGGAAAAAGATGAAGGCAGCTTTATTCCTCTGTTACAGCTGTAGATATTAACAGCAGAAATGGTTACAGTTGCACAGTTACTTTGCAGTATATTGCATTTACTTTATTGAAGAAAAAAAAAATCTCTAGAGTACAGACTGTATAGTAAGGATGTTTAGAGGATTAAGGTCAATAATTTGTCTTAAGGGTGTTTATTGTTTGTATTTTGGTTTTCACAGCTTCATCACTGGTCCATCTGTAGTTCCTGGCTACTTCTCCGTTGACATGGAAAATGTTGTGCTAGTTCTGAATGGAAGAGAAAAAGCAAAGATCTCTTACGCCACTCAGTGGTTGCATTATGCACAAACGTTAATTCATACTCACAAAATACAGCATGTAGCCGTTGTGCTGCTTGGAAATGAGCAGTGCAACAATGAATGGATTCAACCATACCTGAAAAGACATGGAGGATTTGTAAATTTACTCTTTGTTACATATGACTATGCGTTGGTAAATGAAGAAGATATTTTCCAGTGGCCTTTAGGAGTAGCTACGTAAGTGCTTTAGATACAAATTACAGTTGAATCTTAATTCTTATGCATGAGGTATGGAAAATACATCTGAATGTTACTGCTGATATCCAAAACAATTACAGTAAGTAAATTGTAGAACATGATCCTATTAATGATTTTCTAAATCAAGCATTGGAATTCTTGGAAATTGCATTTAGCAATAAAAATGATAACAGAGGAAAAGAATGCTAGGATTTAGGGAGCTTTAAAAAAATGAACCTGTGTCTGGTGGGGTTTTCTGTTTGTTTATTTTTTCTTCAGTAGATTTGCTCTTGAGATTTTTCATAGCTGCTGATGTAATATGGACCAGTGACATGGGAATTTAAGAGATATTTATGTAATTAGGTTCTAACTGCTGCTTGTTTAGGAAAGGAAAGGGATGGTACTGGTGGTACTTTTTTTTAACCCCTGTTTTGGCTCTCGGAAGGAAATTGCATGCCTCACATTTGGAATTAGTATACTACAGTATCACAGTAATGTCGTCTGGTTTAGGGATGGTACTGGTGGTACTTTTTTTTAACCCCTGTTTTGGCTCTCGGAAGGAAATTGCATGCCTCACATGCAATTAGGAATTAGTATACTACAATATCACAGTAATGTAGTCTGGTTTAACTGCTTACTCACAAAAATGTTTTTGTTATACTTACTGCTTAAACTATTTATGTGGAGTAGATAAAGGTTTGGTTCAGTTAGATGTATTTTTTTCTATCTTACTCCTTATTAACAGAGTTAATGGTATTTTAGCTACTTATCATGGTAATATAAGATGAAAAGAATACAGAATTATTTTCGTATTTTCTGTTGAATTTGAATTCAATATCCTATATTGAGCCAGTTGGCAAACTGTATGGAGTTTTTTATACATAGCTTGAACTTGCTCATAGTGTCATTGAAATACACTAAATTTGGATTCTTGATGATGTCAGAGAACTGGTGGCATTGGAAGTTCCTAAGCAGAAAGAAGCTGAATTTTGAGATGCCAAGATTAAGGTGACAGATAACAGAAAGCAACAACAGTTACAACAGTAAACCAGGGTACAAAGCTGGGTGGAGAAAGATAGGTCAGGTTATCAGAATGGGGTTTTGCAGCCCTTGCACACCAACAGTCATAAAAAATTGTGGTTAAAGGTATGCAAATGTGCCAGATTTTCCCAGTGAAGAGGGAAAGTAAAGATGCAGAATCCTGCAAAAATATTTTCCAAAAATCGTTTTCTGAAAGTAAATTAATATTAATTATGTAGAAGAACTAGGAAAGGACTGAGAAGGTGGGAAAATTTGGGAAGGTGAAGAAAGTGAATATGTCTTCAGAGAACCATTAATAGCAATGAAGAAATCATTGTGAAATAAAGTAGAATCTATTTTTGAAACCAGGAAAGAATTTGGATCAGGGTATAGTTTTTCTTACAAAAAAAGAAATAACAGGGAAGTAGAACAGTGATCCATCAAAAATAATAACATTAGAAGGAATATCTGTCTTAATTTGAGAATGCAAAGGAGCAGAAACTTTTTTAACATTCACTTATTCCAGAAAAAATATTAACTTTATGTGATGAAAAAAGTTAGTTAGAAAAACCCTTCAGCTGAAGCAGTGTTTCACTAGCTGTCATGCTGACCAAAACAAGTGATGTAAGATTTGAGGAATCAGTCGAAATGTGGTGAAAACACGTCTAAAAGGATGGCATACAGTTTACATTGGATCCCAGGACTTTGCATTGGTTTTGTTGAGTCCAAAAAGACAAGTTAAATAGCTTGCAGGACAAGCTATTTAGTATCAAAAGATTAGATTAATGAAGTCCACTCAGATCAAAGTGACATTTTCCTTTGAGAGGTTACCAGTGGTATTTTCAGTTGATAAGCATGCCCAGAGGTTAAGGTTGCTGGGACTTAAACTCCATAATTACTATTAACCTGGCCATTTCAGTCAAAACGAGTGGTTGCGTCAAGAACAGCTGCTTTTGAAAAAGCGTGTTTCTCAAGAACACTTTGTAACGTGCACGCATAATATCTCTGATGTCAAAAGAAGACATAAGTATTCTAGAATGTCTCTGAAGAGAAGAGTGGGGACAAAAGGAATAAAGACCGACTTTTAAGACAGGACTTGCACTGATTTGCTTGTGGGTCTGTGGTTGTAGATGTGGATTGGCAACACATAGGTGGTTTTAGTCTTAGAATCTGCTGCAGTAAAGATGAAATGGTGCAAAATGTTTTTTCTTTGACAGAAAACATATAATCTAATGTATACATTGTTTTTACAGCTACAGAAATTTTCCATCTGTAGAACCCAGCTGGTCAATGCTACATGATCCAAGATCATATCTATGTAATTTCTTAGGAACAGTTTATAGGAACTCTTCTAGGGAAACCCTAATGGAAATTCTGAAGCAGGATGGGCTTGATAAACTTTGCTGGATTGCAGCCAGAGAACAGTAAGTCTTTGATTTACTTTGTGAAAATATTCAGACTTTTTTGCCTATCCAATCCGTTCCTGAGTGTTAAAAAATAGTACAAATAAAAGTAACCAGTCATCATTAAAAGAGAGAACATTGCCAAGACTCTTTATATAGGTCTTCATAACAAAATGGCCTTTCTGTTGCTATATTTTACATAAAGCGTATTTTTAAATACATAGAAAAATTTCTGTAGTATGTATACTACATATAAAGATCATCTTTTTTTTCTTGTATACATTTGATTATGATGGGAGAAGAAATGTTTGTCTTGCACCTTGTGTGTATTAATGTCTTACTAGAAGAAAAGGACAGCTGTATTTTGTTGTGTTCCATATAAGAGAGTGGATTTAATCTGTACGGCGTGGCTTTTTTTTATTTCAAGTAGGTAGAACAGATCTTTTGACTAACAGGAATAGGGTTCTGATTGTATTTCTTAATTTTGCCAAGCAACACCTGTAAAATGTTTGATAGCAGGCACAGAAGTGCTTAGGAAGACCTCACCTACCTGATGAAGAATCTCAGCAAATGGATTGTATCTGTGACATAAACTCTTATCTCACAGACGTTCTGAGGCACTTCAAGCAGGTGGATTCAGGTTAACGGATTGCTTTACATCCTAACTTTTGAAGAGCAAACCTCTACTGATACAAAGTATTTGAGGCCAAAAAAATTCATTTAAAAGTCCTTCGAGTGTCTCCCTGTATGTCTATATCTGAACTCTGCTGTGAAGTAAATTGACATAGGCATCATCCAAGTCACGCAGAAGATTTAAAATGGCGTTTCAATACACTTCTGCATATTAATTTCCTAAAAGGACCATATCTAAAAAGTGTTACAGTCTATTTTGAACGGTGACATTTTCAATACATTTTTAGAAGACTCTTCAAGAATAGTTAAGACTAAGAGTAAAAGCCTATTGATTGTGTGTGTAATACAAATTTTTTACATTGACAGCATTTTCAGTTTTATAAATAACTGAAACTAAAGCATATTTATTTTTTCATTGCAGTGCCTGTGGGAAAAATGTTAATTTTCAACCCCTTTACTTTTCTAGGTGGCAGCCTCAAGAAACAAATGAAAGTTTCAAAAACTATCAAGATGCCTTGCTGCAGAGTGATTTGACGTTGTGCCCAGTGGGAATAAATACAGAATGCTATAGAATTTATGAAGCTTGTTCATATGGATCTCTGCCTGTTATAGAAGATGCAATGACACCGGGTGATTGCGGAAATTCATCAATGTATCACAGTGCTCCATTACAATTATTAAAAACCATGGGGGCTCCATTTATCTTTATTAAAAACTGGAAAGAGCTTCCTGCTGTTCTAGAGAAAGAAAAACAAATGAGCTTACAAGAAAAGATTCAAAGGAGAAAAAAGCTTATAGAATGGTATCGAAACTTCAAAGCATGGATGAGACAGAAATTCATTAATACTTTGGAAAATTCTTTTTTGCCCAGTGATAAAGGATAAATTGTCCCTTTTGAAAATCTAGAATAGATTGAAAACTTAATTTCCATTAACCTTCTGAGGAAGCTTTTATACAAAAGAAATCTCACAGGGCAGATGCATTCCTTTTGAAGTCAACAGAATTGCGCTAGCTTGGCCAAGAGCTATGTTTGGCCCTCCATCCTTAACAATTTTCAGAGGTTGTTGACTTAGCAGGATGGTAGTCTGTAAGAATGACAACAATTTTATTACTCTTTTTACAATTTCCATGTTGGTGTGTGACGTGATAAATTTTTTCTTAGGAGAGTATCTTTGAGTATGTGAACTTGTTAAAATCCAACATGAGTACAACAGTTGTGTTTGAAGAAAAGAGAAGAATGAAAGCTGTATGGTACGGAGTAATTTATTATGTAGACTAAAGAAGAAAAGTATGATTATAGCAAAATTGCCAGGTTTAGCACAATCATTAAGATATATCCTGGTAAGTGCTTGTTTTGAAAATGTGAACTGTTTACTTGATTGACGTTTCATTTCCAAGAAAGTGGCCATAATGCTCATTAAACACTGTGGAATAAAAATTTATATTTCAAGGTAAAAATAGAGAACTCTTTCTTAGAAATATTTCATAGCAATGTATTTCCCCTTTAATTTCAGATATCATAATTGCTTTCTTTCATTTCCATTTAGTCTTGGGACATATCTTTCTGAAGTTCTGCTGCGGGAGCATTCATTACCTGCAGTTACAGCTGCACATTCTGAACATGAGGCCTTAAACATGAATTTGCTTGTAGCTTATCTGATTTCTCAAAATCTGCTGAAACTTGTCAACTCGAAAAGATGGCAGAAGTATAATATTGCATGTTTATGATACTACGTGAACCTCAAACAGTTTCAACGGTTTTTGTTAAATGTAGCCAAAGGGATCTGTTACTGTTCTTGTACATCAGAAATGAGTGCGTGCCATTATCTTCAGTGTGTTCGGCTGAGCGCTGTTACTGCATGTGCAACATTGGCATACTGAAGGTGGTGTAATAGCCAGTTTCCTGTCTTTAAACATCAGCATGCCATAGGGGTTCATCCTCATGCAATCTCAAAAGCCAGTGCAACCGTACTGCTCGGTAATATTCATTTGTGTAATGATATATCTAGTTCTGGAATATGAATCTTACAAGAGCAATTCTGTGTTTTTTGCAGTTTTCTTGCATCTCTTCTGTAAAAAAAAAAACCAAACAAAAAAAAACCAAACAAAAAAAAGACCAAAAAAACCCCCGCCAAAACCCAAAAAACCAAACAAACCCAAAACATAAAAACACCGGGTTTTAATTTGCTAACAGTGAATGATATTCACGGGCGTGGCTCTAGATCTGGAATAAGGTGTGTTTCAGAACACCTGGATTTTTAGGACCTTGCATTCCGTATGGTTAGCAGATGCTCTCAGAAGACAAATAATCTGAATTGTATGTCTAACATGAATTTCCTGTGACTATCTACCCATTTTGTCTGAAGCATCATGTTGTTGCAATACAATGCAAATGTACTCCATTCAGCTGAGACTGGAAGTACAGCTATCACAATTCAGCACTGAGCTGATGAGCCCTGCTTAGAGGTGGACCTTGTTAGACCAAATTTACCGTAAATTTCCATACTGAGGATCAGAGGTAGCCATCTGCACTGTACGCACCACTTAGAGGGTTAGAGGAAGCTTGAGTATTTGCAATAGTGTAGTGTCATTGCTGTAATTTCCATCTAATAGAATCTTTCTACACAAGCTACAAAATGCGGCACAATGATCTAGAGCAGCGTTTTTCAACCTGTAGTCAGCGGGTCCCTTAGCACTCCTCAGGATTTCAAGGAACTGCAAAAAACAGCTGAGAGAGAGAAGTCTCTACCAGTCAGCCTAGATTCTTACAAAAGAGGCTGCAGCTCTTAAAAAATGTTAATGATATGCAAGTCGAACCCTGAAAAACAGTTCCGTGTGTTATATTTAACCAATGCTTGACACTTCAAATTCACCTGCTTCAGTCCAACAGGAATTAGTGCTAAAAGTTTTTTCTTGTGTTCTATTTCCAGTGCTAATGGAGCAAAGAGAGCAAAACATCTTGAAGCCAAGGGAGGGTTCCTAACACATTAGACAGGTTGCCAGTATTTTAATTATTTCCTTATTCCACTGTCCAACTTGTGGGAGAGATTGTAGTTCTCCTGGTTTTACTTACTAATCTCTCATGGTCAAGTCCGTGCCCTACTTGGATCCAGAGATGAGCAAGATAACAAAAGGGACCTTGGCAAAAAAGGATGAGACTGAGGGAAGAAAGACAGTGAGAGGTGCAAGAAATCAGAGAGGAGGTATCATCAGTGGTAGAGAAAACTGGTTTAAAAGAAGGGAAGCAGTTAAGCCCCTGGCGAAAAAGATAATTTATCCCCTGCGTGACGCATCGAGGTGGGAGTAGATAGTATCTACTGTCAGTGAGAAGATGAAGAATCAGTTCAGTTGTTTAATACTGAGAGGAGAATGGATGCTCTGTTTTTGAAGTTAGCCCTCTTGTTCGAGACTGGGATAGCGAAGTACAGCTTTCCAGAGCACGAAACAAGGACTTGAGGCCTCTTACAACCGCACATGCTGTCTCCATCGGAGAGGGAATTCTGCACAGAACCGAGCCTGTCTTGAGTCAAGAATGCCAACTGTAACATCCAACGTTAGATTTGTATGCAGAATATGTAATTCTACCAGTTTCATTATGAGAGGTATTTCCTGCTGGTGAAGACTTCACAAATTAAGCTGGATTGCCTTGCTATAAGAAGAAACAGATGTAGCTTCTCACAATTTAGTGTAACCCTGTCTCTCCTACGTAATTCTGAACCCATTTAGAGTGACTGTGAACACATGATGTAAATTGTTTAAAAGATCGGCTTCTAGAGAGCAATATGTTTCCAAAGAAACGTAACCAGTCTTTATAGCTGTTGGTAATCCTGTAGATAAGCAAGTGGCTTGCAGAGGATCTGGCTGCCAATTGCTTACCATTCTTGGACATCTAAGTTGTGATAGTGTATTTCAATAGTTAGGTTTTCCGGTATTTTTAGATACTGTCTTTCAATGACTGAAACTTATACAAGGAGTGATAAAACTAAGAGTTTTGTAGAAGCCTTTCTCACAGCAATTATTAAATATGAACTAGGATCGCCATGTGCTGGAATCCCCAGTTTCTCTCTTGGCTTATTGCCCTTGCCAAAACACTTGCAAAATCACAGAAACAAAATCCTGTTACTTCTTGGCAAACCTTGCATGTCAGTAATAACTTCTAAGAGCTGGGCAAACTCAGAAGCAGCTTCCATGCTATAGAGTCCTAAAATATTTCCAGGAATTCTTCCTACTGGGATGGGAGAGATGAATGACAGTTGAACAAGATTATGCTTATTTTGGCATGTTCATAAAGACTGATGTTGGGAGAGACAAAAGTATTGCAAATGCAATTCCAACCATCCCCAAAGAAACTGTTGCTTCCAAGAAAATTGCTACCGTAAGGCATGTTGGGACTAGCATTTTCCAGTAGCTGAGAAGGAGTTTAATGTTTATGTAGTGCTGTGAATCCTACACAAAGGGTTTGATGAATCAGCCAAAAAAAAAAAAGCTGACCTGATGAAAACGTGCCTGAAGGGATGATGTACAGTTTACATTGGATCCCAGGACTTTGTGTTGGGTTTTTTTTGCTTTCTAAGTCCACAAAGATAAGTTAAATAGTTTGTACAATAAGCCCTTCTGGGATCACTCCAAAGTGATGCTATAAAAACCATGAAGTGCAGCAAAAGTGACAGTGGTTCTAAACTCTTCTTCTCATCCCAGCAGCTTATGCAGTTACAAATAATTGCATAGATTTCTTACTAATCGCCAGTCCATAAATCATGACTGATAATCCTCTCGATAGGGAAACAGCTTGCAAAAGGTCACGTTACTGATTGATACTTAAACTCTTTGGGTGGGTCAAATTTCAGGATTTCTTCAGTGTCTCCTGAACAATAAAAGCCAGTAAATGGGTATGTATTTTTATCTTGTCAATATAAATACTTTTCACATCTTAATACTTACCTGAGCATGGAGGACTGCTTTTAGTGTTAAAATCTCTCCATGTGACTCTAGTTTTAAAGAATGTAAAAGCTGAAAACGCGCTAGAGGTGAAATCCGAGGGCCAAGAGGAATGCTAATCAGAAAAAGATTAATGCCTATGTACATTTCTGATGTATTTCATTCAACGTGTTTAAGAGAAAATGCATCTGAGAACTGGAACTACACGGCAGTAAAATGATGAGGCAAAGAGTTTCAAAACAGGCTATGTAACGTTAGTCCCCTAGTGTCTGGTGTTTCAGTGTGGCTAGTTCAAGATCCCATAAAGAGGCCTGTCTTCAGAGGTAATTGCTACATGTTTTGTAAATCAAGAACCTTTCAAGATTTCTCTAGTTCAGTACCCAAAAGCCACTGTCCAAGTTTGAGAGGCTGGCCACACAGCCAGTTATTTGTACGGTAACATCTCTTCTCTCCTAATTGTGTTGAGTGCCCTGGGAGCGCATGCTTTGCTATTCGCATTTTCTTTTCTGAACACCCTTGGGACCTGAGTGCAACTCAGTGAACGCTGCTATAGTAGAGTACAAGATGTTTGTGATCCATAGTCCCACAACACAGGTGTATTTTGTCAAGCATGCCATGAAATAACACGACTTACTCTCTCAGCCAGTCTTACACCAGCTTAATCATAGAAGGATAGTTTTAGGTACGTATCCTCAAATTGCTTCCTAGCTGGTATTCTGCACAGTCCCATTTGCCAATGCAAAATTTCTGGTTTTCAGGTGACAGCATTTCCCATTCCTATGGTCTTCATTTTTTTCATCTTCAGGAATGTATCTTTTGTAGCTTGGGCTGCATTTTTAAAACAAACAACAGAACTACAGTATTATACACAGTTTCCATTAAATGTGTGTTTTCAGAGGATATGAGATGCAAAATAAATGCATCAAACAGAAATGAGTCATTAACTAAGATCCAGATGAAGACACAGCCCATTGAAAGACAGCAAGTTGTGCAGGTGGCCGCAAATAATGAAAAATGAATATCTGAATGACTGAAATTAGCCTGATTCTTTCAAATGAAGTTATTGAAACAGCATAAATCTGTTAAATGTCATATTTTGAAGTTTGCTGTATCAAAGGAGGGCCCAAAATGCAAGATTTCTACGGAAGTGATTTCTTTCTTTTCATGTTTTTCCCCCTGCATTGGAGTTCTTTTCTGAAGAATAAGGGTAGTCCCCAGCCGTGAGCAGCGATCCACCTCAAGTAACATTTACGTAGGAGGTGCTGAAACGTCTTGCTCTGTGGCTGCTTATTTACTACTTTTTAGTGTTTGTGACAACCCTTGTCAGCAATGAGGCTACCACAGTGCTAGATCCTAACGCACAAAATCCTCTGGGATGTGAGATACCCGGGTTCAAGCCTGTCACGTCCCACCTTCGAGGGGGAAAAAGTGACTCAGATTGGCAAATCCCCTCAGTGTGAATTAAGGTGAAACAACACTCAAGGTCCGTGCATAAACACCAACTTTAATGGAACAAGTACTCTGCAAACATTGCTTCTCTGGCAATTGTATCTACGCAAGCTATGCGGCTTTATGAGGAACCAAGAAGGGCCTTGTGTTACTTAACGGCTTTAAGAGAAAGGGAGAGGTCACCAATCCTGGATCCAGCAAGGGACCTGCCAACAGGGGTTCAGTGTAGAGAGCACCCCAGGGGCTTGTACTTGCCCCTATTTATTGCCCCAGTTCCTGGACTTCTGGAAGCTTCTCTCACTCC